CCGACCCCAAGACGTCCGGTGGCTTTTTCGCCCCCTGGAACAAACTAAGAAAATATATGTCCAGTAGTGATGGATTCCCTTAAAACCAACCTGGGGAAATAAAACATATTCTGAAGCAAATGGAAGTATATGGGTGTGGTTGTCAAAATAGGGCCACCCCAAAACCCTGGTAAATGGAAACAAAGACTGAAACCTGCGGTCTTTTGGTGGTTTTGCTTTGGCCCATACCTATATTCCCCCCTAACATCACAAACAGGAAACCAACGTGGTGATTTGAAAAGAAAACCTCAATAAAAATGGCCACCCACCAACCCCATCTCAAAGTGGCAACCAAAAGGTGATGTTCAAAACCACAAAAAGGGGAAATACGGCCATGGGTCAGAATCTCGTACCCCCAATGAACATCCCAATCCCCACTCAAATAGGTTCAAAAATGGGAGGTGAATTCACCTACCAACCAAAATGGGATCCCAAAACGGTTTTGACAACCACAGCCATATAGGGAATCCTGACAGTAGGATGTCAGTGAGCTGAGAAGAGATGACCAACTGGAGTGCTTCTCTTTCTGGCCATGATTTTTAACGAGGAACCCCTAAATGCTGTCCACCACAGGGTCCCTTAATAAAATTCTAGGGTTTGCTTCCCCATTCTTTCCAGGGATCCTTCTTTCTAGAAACCACCAAAAACCCTGGGGACACGGATCCGGTGTTTGAAAAGAACGATGGTTGAAAAGAATGGACAAGGAATCAAACCCTACAAAAATAAAACACAACACATACCAAGCGTGCTGCAGGGACGACTGAACCGGCAGCAAGGTCTGCGTCGTCATGGCGCGCTCTTTCAGCCGTGCGGCTGAGCGCTTCAAAAGTTTGGGCGGGTATTCTTCTTTGAAGTAAGCTTTTCCTGGGTTAAGTGTACCTGGGTGCCAGGAAAAAGTGTTGTGGACATGTCTAGAAAAATAAAACATTTGTCAATCCCCTTTTGGTTTCCGTTTGTTTATGTTTCTTGTTTATTTGTTTGTGAAAGCACACATCGTTATTTGGCGCACAATTCATGAGAACTTGTGTCAGCCAAGCTTTTTTGAGGGCGGTCCCCATCAGAATTCACAGGCAAAGAAAGTTCACGGTCACCCCGCCGAAACACATGCAACATCGACAACCTTAGGCAATATTGCCGATGCTTCTGAAGGCCTCCGACTCTTGCTATCTTGCCGCAACTCGCTGAGCCAACTTGGAAGCTGCGGCCTCCGCCTTCTGGCGAGCCATCACGTGCCCCTTGAAACGGGTGGTCTTCGCGTTGGCTTCCCTTTCAGCCAAAAGAAGGAAGCTGTCTCCTCAAAAACCAAGCCCCCCCACCCCAACTTTCCCAGCAAGGCGTTTCGGCTGGTTCCCGAAAGCCTCTTGGCTTAATGGGGCCACTGGAGGGAAGCAATCCCCATGTAATGATTCACAATGTTTGCAGGTCAGTTGGACCGAGCTGGTGCCTTTCACGTCAAAACAAGCCCAAACCACGGGGCAGCCCAGGGGGCATTGTTTCAAATTTGCGCGTAGCCTTCATGGTTGGCATGCGATGCCTCCCAGACAACTAATGATAAATTTACGTGGATCTCTGACTGGTGCCTGATCCTTGTTTAAACCCACAAACAGCCAGTGCGTCAACAAGTTGGCCCAGGAGAGCCTGAACAAGGCAAAGGGCTCCGCGTCAGGTCAACTGCAAGAATCAAGGGGTTAAACCCAACCTCATCACAAGTCCATTAAGCCTGCAAAGCCGCTCCGCCGAGTTTTTCGAGCGCGGCAATGTCCGGCAGCGTCCCTGAAATCAATTGCAAAGAGCCCAAGATGTCGCACAGGTCCTTTGGCAACTCAGCCTTGAGCTGCCTCGGATTTCGAAAGGTAAATGAAGCACGAGGTCAATAGTTTACATGCCTATCTGATACGAAGAAAGCAACAGCGCTGACCACAACAGGTCCTCCAGCAGAGAGGTTAGAATCAGGGTACCTTTTTTCTGTAGTCTATTTTAGTAGGGGAACCCCCCCCAAAAAAAGGGTAAAAGGGCACTACTGGGGACCTAGACGAAACACGCAGTCCTGGTCAAGATCGCCCATGGCTCTGACCCAATTGCATTTTTTCCGAAGCGCCCTTGACGGGCTCCTTTTCATCGCTTCTGTTCAGGAGCTCACTTGCTCCAGCTCCCAGAAGCTAATAGACCCCTTTGGGACCTTGATCAAGAATGGCCAACATTGCACAACCACCAGGGCAAAAAGGCGGAAAGGGACAATCGATCCTCTCAAACTTAAGGCAGGTCACCGCCATGAGATAGCCGTGAGAACTCTGCGCACGTGCCTATTCAATGAAGCCTCTCCCCGAATGATGCCAATACCTCATAAATACCAAGCCTGAATATTCTAGCCAAGCATTTGGCGAGACGACTCTGCACAAGTCAACAGTTTGCTGCTTAAACGGAGGGCAAAAGGGCAAAGGGCCGGATATCAGCCTGGCAATGATCACAAAACGCCAGTGCAAAAAGAGCGACAAAGTCCGAACCCCCACCCCCAAATCCTGAACGATGTTCTTTTCTGGACATGTAGCGGCTTGGGATGTGAGGGAGGACACCAGGAATCCTTTGCAGGCGTGACGTGGTGGTTGACCAACGACTCTGCCATGTAAATGGTGGACCCCTTCAAAAAGGTCCTCAGAAAGAAGATCGAGTTTTCCGCTGGCTCAGCCCTACGGTCTTTTTTGCCATGTACGCGCCTATAATATATATATATATATATATAAGTGGGGGCCGCAAAGTGACTCTGGAGTTGGTTGCTCTCTTTCGCCACTCTCAGCTCTCCCCCCCCAAACAAAAGCAACAACAACAACCAACCAACACATGCGCTTTGATTGTGCGTATCTTTAGATGGGGGTCCACAAAATTGTGGTTTGCCCCTTAGCTTTCCCAAAACAAGACGGGGTCCGTCCCCTTTCTTTGTCAGGCGGGCGGCACTGGTCCCTGCAGCCCGAAAAGCCGCAGCTGGCGGCAGTGGAGAAAAAGTCGGCACCAGCCTTCGCTTAGCGCTTGGGAGACCATTTCTCGGTGGCGAAATCTGCGAAGCCCTGCTAAGTTTTTTGTTCATGGAAAGCCCATTGGTTGGAAAGAAGTTGAAGTCCTAACATCCAAGCAACATGCACCAAAGATGTTGTTTCTATATACCATCCCACCGATTACCATGGAACCTGACACGGGGTCCTGAAAGACAATGCTCCTTTTAGCGGGACCCACTGTCAGGTTCCATGTGAGTTGGTGGGATGGTATCTGGGGGAAGCTTGCAACCTTTCTTTGTGTCAAACCTCCCTTTAAAAAGGAACTCAAGAACCAGAGGCTTACACAGTCGGTCTTCGCGAAAAGAACGGACGGTTGAATGGGAATCAACCCCTAGAACCAACCAGCGGGTGGGAAGCCCTTTGGATTTTTTCTTCAGAAACATCCAAGAGGAACACCACCCATAAACGGGTCCATTTATTTTATGGTCCCCGATTTTGACACCCCCCAGTTATTCTAGACAACCAGACCCATACCTGTGTTAAGCAAAGAGAAAGCAACAGCAGGTTGTTGAAACCGAGGCTTCGCCCAACCCTGACTTGGATCCCCAGTTCGGGAACAAAGGGGCAGCCTCATCAAACAAAGCATATGTCCGGCAAACCAACAAACTGAGTTCGTTGCAACCCCCACTAATCACGAAGAGAAGTCAAAGAAGCAAACACATCATGTTCACATGTGAACAACACGAGAACAATTACATTAACATAAAGTTAACATGTCAGACGCTGACCTAAGATATAGCTTTCTGGCCAAGCGCAGTTCAAACATTTGTTGGCCTTGACTAACCTGATACCGGACAAATGCCAACATCAAGTTGCTCAACTCAAGAGGTCAGATGTGTGGCTCCCCGGAATGGGGCAGCACCACGAATAGAAGTTCAACTAGTTGTTTTGCTTTTAGTTTACAGCAGGAATCCCCGAAAGTTCACAAGCTGTTCTTTGCCTGGTTTTTGTGGGAAACTTGAGATGTCCCCTCGTGTGGCCATGGGTCAAAAGCCCGGTTAGCCATCCCAACCCCCACTAAAATAAAGCCAAAAAATAGTACCATTGGTTTTGACCCACAGCCATAATCTCCCCAAGCCAACAGTGGACCACCAATGGTACTGCCAGTTGCTAACGTCCGGGCTTCCCCCCAATAGGAAGCGCATTCAGCTCACTTCCTAGGTGGATTGGTGAGAAGGAATCGCAGCTTTCTGTTTGCCACCAAACTGATCCTTCCGCAAGTTTGAGGTCAAACTGGGAAAGTGAGTTCCTTTGATGTTCCCGGCAACACCACACAGAACCAAAAAACAACTACATAAACTCATGTTTTGCAAAGCAAAACATAATTGGTGAATCAAACAATAGTACCCAAAATGGAACCTTGGCAAATGGAAACATGGACTTAAACCTGCTGTCCCCCGGTGGTTCGATATTGACCCATACCCACATCACGCCACCAAACTTGGGAGGTCAGCCTCGCGCGGCTTCGCCTCCGGAGCCGTACAAGGCGTCGCCGACGATGGGGTGGTTTTTGGCCGCCAGGTGCGCGCGGATTTGGTGGAGGCGACCTCGCAGCGCAGAACGGTTGCTATGGCCTCATGACTTTTACCCCTCAAGTGAGTCACAATTCTGGGGGTTGATTCCTTGTCCATTCTTTTCAACCATGGTTCCAAAAACCGGCCGTTTTCCCTGGCTTTCTAGAAAGGAGGATCCCTGGAAAGAATGCGGAAGGTTCTCGCTTTTTGACTACCCCAAGATAGACTTAAACCCAGGGACCCGTTCCCCTTTTGGAGTGATGAATCAGCCCTGGGTTTAAGTCTACCCTGGAGTAGTGCAAAAGTGGAGCTCTGGGTTTTTATGGCCCCATGACTTTTGCCCGGTACTAAAAAAGGGCGCCCCAGAACCGTGCTTCAAGAATTGCCAAGGTAAAAATCTCCGCACCCATTTATGGCTGGGATTCTTTTCCTCCAAGTACTGGGGTTTTGATTGTGACTCAAGTGATGCTGTGAATGCGAAATTCGTCCGTACCACGTCACGAGCAAACTGCGGATCCGCAAACATGCAAACCACGCCTTTGACAGAGATGGTCAAAGATAGGAGCAAGAACAGGTGGATTAGCCTATCCCTGTTTGGTGATATTTGGGGGCTACCACTTCACACCATAGCACAGCCCTTGCGAGGACATGACGAGCCAGCAAACCAACCAACCAACCAACCAACCAGACAGCCAGCCAGCCAGCCAGCCAGCCAGCCAGCCAAACAAGCAACAAACAAACAAACAAGCAAACCACCTTTAGGTTGCAAAACCCATCCCGCTGTTTGGACAGCTCTTGGGCTCTTTGGACATGGGGAAAAAAACACCTGTCATTGGAGGGTGCAAGCGCATTGTTCCCTACTTAGCTGGCTTGGTCTTCACCCCTCTCCAAACAGATCGATATTTGATAGGTGTTACTTTGCTCGGAAACATCAGGTGAGAAGGGTTGTACTAGCTTGCTGGTTCCAAGCTCCCTCTGAAATTTGGGAACTCAGCGTTTGGGAACTGAACGGAAGCCACCAGTTGGTCGATTCGGAAGAACAAACACCGCTTCGCACCGCTTGGTGGTTCATAGGCGTTCCTCCATCTGGTGCTGGGCAACATGTCCATGGGGTCATTCCAACCTGTGCTCTCCTCAGATGCCCCGCTGAAAGTGAAAAACGTGGCTCAAATTCGGACAACCAACTACTAAACCAACTAAAACACCATTAAAAACCTATGTTGCACCGAATGATTCGCCGGGAACCACCACCACCACCACCACCACCACCACCACCACCACCACCACCACCACCACCACCACCACCACCACCACCACCACCACCACCACCACCACCACCACCACCACCACCACCACCACCACCACCACCACCACCACCAAAAAACAACAACCAAAAAAAACACTAAACCAACCAAACACCTAAACACCTTTTCGCACTAAAAAAAACTTTCTCAGCCAACCAACATCCACCAAAAGCGCAAGTTGAACCGAATGATCGCTGAGAACCACCACTAAAAACCCGCACAAAACCCCCACTAAACCAACCAAACACCTAAAAACCCTTCTTTGCACCGGATGATTCGCTGGTTGAACCACCAAGCAAAGCTTGTTTTTGGCCCAACAAAACCAGCTTCCGCGCCTGTCTTGGGCTTCGCCTCCAGCAAGCTCAGCTCCTCGCGGTATTTTTTTGTTCGGCGGAAAGAAACAAATCAGCGATGCTCCGTCTACATCTTGGCTCACGAAAAATAAATAAAGTGTATTGCTGCGAAGAAAAACATCGGATTCTGACTTCTGACCCCAAGTAGAACCGTATGATTGCGGGGTGGTGTTCGTTGGGCCAAAAAAGACGTTGCTTGGTGGTTCAACCAGCGAATCATGCCGTGCAAAAAAGGTTTTTCGGTGGGTGTTCCCTCCAAAAGTGGCTGTGGGTCAAAAAAAAGAAGAGGTAACCCCAAAATGGCACCCTGGCAAATGGAAACAAGGACTACCACCTGTGGTCCCCTGGTGGTTTAATTTTGACCCATACCCATGTGGGGGTGTTCCCTCCAAAAGTGATGTTTCCCCACTAAACCCAGGGACACCCGCTATTAAAAAACAAGGGGTTGATTAATCTGGGGTCAACATTAAGGAGCTCTTGCAGTGGGTCTGAAAAGCTGTTCGATCCTTTCTCAAGAAACAAACAAAAAACACGCGCTTTGCTGCGAAGAAAAACATCGGACACTCATTCGACATTTTGCCTCAAGACAAAAAAAATAAGTGTTTTGCTGCGGGGGATAACAACACATAATCGATACTCCTTCGACATGCTGGACCAAGAAAGAAAAGGGCTTGCAGCGCGACTGCTGATGTTTGTTGCCCTTGCAAAGCCGTGTGTCCATGTTTTTGGACGGAACCCGTATTTGGATTCTTCCTTCTTGTGCCATCTATTATCGCCCAGGCGGTATGGACAAAGAAGAAACGTCACATGTGGGAGTCCAGCTCCTACTAAGAATGAACAGAACCAAAAGAAAACAATCCGTGTTACCTAGCCCAAACGTTGGAAAAGCAAAACCTTAGATAGAACCAATCAAAAAGAACACTTGCCAAAAAATGTTGTTTTTACCCCCGTCTCGGTGAGTTCTCGCCCTCGGAGAAAAAAAACAAAAAACAAAAACAAAAAAGCAGCAACAGCAACAGCAACAGCAACAGCAACAGCAACAGCAACAGCAACAGCAACAGCAACAGCAACAGCAACAGCAGCAGCAGCAGCAGCAGCAGCAGCAGCAACAACAACAACAACAACAACAACAACAACAACAACAACAACAACAACAACAGCAGCAGCAGCAGCAGCAGCAACAACAACAACCAACAAAACACAAACCAAACAACACCCCCCGCCCCCCCCAAAAAAAAAAACCGTAAGAGGGAAGAGTATGTATAATGTGCCGGGGAGAGGTCTGGGCATCAACATCACACTGAGAGCTGGCTTTCAGGCAGATCTTGTATAGGAATTGATTTCATAAAATTGCAAATCTTAGTCTGAGAAATTGGCTTCCAGGGGAATTTGGTAGGAATGAAACTGCAGATATTACAAAATAATTTGTAAGGTAAAGAAAATATTCTCCAAAATAACAAATTTTACAAATTCTAGTCTGAGAAATTAGCTTCCAGGGGAATTTGGTAGGAATTAAATGACAAATTTTACAAATTTTACAAATTAATGTGTAAGTTTTCTAAAATATCAAAAACATCTGGCCCAAAATTACAAATTTTACAATTTTTACAAATTAATTTGTAAAATTTGTAAAATATCAAAAAATCTGGCCCAAAATTACAAATTTTACAAATTTTACAAATTCTAGTCTGAGAAATTAGCTTCCAGGGGAATTTGGTAGGAATTAAATTACAAATTACAAATTTTACAAATTTTACAAATTTTACAAATTAATTTGTAAAATTTGTAAAATATCAAAAAATATGGCCCAAAATTACAAATTTTACAAATTAATTTGTAAAATTTGTAAAATATCAAAAAAATCTGGCCCAAAATTACAAATTTTACAAATTTTACAAATTCTAGTCTGAGAAATTAGCTTCCAGGGGAATTTGGTAGGAATTAAATTACAAATTTTACAAATTTTACAAATTTTACAAATTAATTTGTAAAATTTGTAAAATATCAAAAAAATCTGGCCCAAAATTACAAATTTTACAAATTTTACAAATTAATTTGTAAAATTTGTAAAATATCAAAAAATCTGGCCCAAATTTTACAAATTTTACAAATTCTAGTCTGAGAAATTAGCTTCCAGGGGAATTTGGTAGGAATTAAATTACAAATTTTACAAATTTTACAAATTTTACAAATTAATTTGTAAAATTTGTAAAATATCAAAAAAATCTGGCCCAAAATTACAAATTTTACAAATTAATTTGTAAAATTTGTAAAATATCAAACAAATCTGGGCCAAAATTACAAATTTTACAAATTTTACAAATTCTAGTCTGAGAAATTAGCTTCCAGGGGAATTTGGTAGAAATTAAATTATAAATTTTAAATTTTACAAGTTTTACAAATTAATTTGTAAAATATCAAAAAATCTGGCTCAAAATTACAAATTTTACAAATATTACAAATTAATTTGTACAATTTGTAAAATTTGTAAAAAATTGTAATTTAATTCTTACCAAATTCCCCTGGAAGCTAATTTCTCAGACTAGAATTTGCAAAATTTGTAAATTTGTAATTTTGGGCCTGATATTTTACAAATTTTACAAATTAATTTGTAAAATTTGTAATTTTGGGCCAGATTTTTTTGATATTTTACATTTTTTCAAATTAATTTGTAAAATTTGTAAAATTTGTAATTTTGGGCCAGATTTTTTTGATATTTTACAAATTTTACAAATTAATTTGTAAAATTTGTAAAATTTGTAATTTAATTCCTACCAAATTCCCCTGGAAGCTAATTTCTCAGACTAGAATTTGTAAAATTTGTAAAATTTGTAATTTTGGGCCAGATTTTTTGATATTTTACAAATTAATTTGATAAAAAAATGTAAGATTTGTAATTTTGGGCCATATGTTTTTGATATTTTACAAATTTTACAAATTAATTTGTAAAATTTGTAAAATTTGTAAAAATTTGCAATTTAATTCCTACCAAATTCCCCTGGAAGCTAATTTCTCAGACTAGAATTTGTAAAATTTGTAAAATTTGTAATTTTGGGCCAGATTTTTTGATATTTTACAAATTTTACTTTGATATTTTACATTTTTTTTCTAATTTCATTTGTAAAATCTGGAAATTTCTCTTTTTACACATGTACTTGCGAAATTTGTGAAATGCTTAATTGTTAACCATATTTGTTGGAATTTGGCATAGTTCAGAAACTAATCTGCAAAATGTGTATAACTTGTAATTTAACTCCAGCCAAATCTCCCCGGAAAGCAAATTCCCCAGAGTACGTTTCAATGTCAGCAAACATCCGATTTAGAATTACAAGCTGGATTTGAACAAACATTGCTCGGGGGTTGCAAATTGCACAAGCTAGTTTGTAAAAAGTCGGTCCAGAATTACACAAATTACAAGTAAAGGTGTGAACATTGTAAACTTGATAAAACTTGATCACCGTCCTTCCCTTATCGGCTTTTTTTGGGTCAAGTTTGTTTCATTTGGTTGAAGTTTGGTAAGGAAATGGGGAGGAAGCATATTATCTTTTCATTTGGAATCTCTCTTTTCTGTTATTTCCATGTGCTTGTTTTTCTTTAGGATCTCGAATTCATACTCCTTTCTTTATCTTTCACTCTCTCCCCTGACCATTTCTTCCTACAATCAACTCAATAAACTAGGAGAGAGGACATCTTCTGTAACACGCTTCTTTTGGATAACTTTCATACCACACATACCTGATGGAGAAAGAGATGGAGAAAACCGTGCAAATAGAAAGACATGGAAAGGCTACTGGGATTGTGGGATGGATTCATTTGTATCTCAGAGATTTTATCGCATACCAGGTTAGACCAATCGATGAAGGTAAGGGAAAGGGAAAGGTGTGAAAGAACAAAGAATGATGAAGAACATCTTCCGCCCAGACATCACGCAGAATACGCCAGATAGCCTGTCCGTGAGACTTGGAGGATATGATGATTGAAGATTCCCTCACTATCCCTTTCCAGCCTGTCTTTGGGGCCTCTTCCAAATCATTGCCTGTTTCCTCTTGTCCATCCATCCTCATCCTTTATTTGCATTTATGGATGGGCAAGAAGTGACGAAAGCATTTGCAGGCAGTAATAATTACGGTAGAAAACGTAATATCCTCCCTTTCTTTTCAAAATCCTGTTTTATACAAGCTAACAACATAAAAAGGGCGCGAGACAGTTATGACAAAGCTAAAGATAATTATGGGTGGTGCTTACAGAAGCTATCTAATTTATTACGTGCTAATACATGCTTCTAATCTTAAAACCATGCTTACATTCCTCGTTCTTTTCTATTTTATTCTTCCCTTGTTGAGATTCATTACGCTATCTTTCTTTCTGAATGCTTTTGGCTGTCCGGTCGTCGCTGGGGCTCACCGAAAAAAAAAGATTATGAGTAGGTCTTACTCATATTATTTTGCTTGTGTTTTACTATCTTTTGGACCTTTCATCCTTCCCCTTCTTCTGTTTCCCTTTTCAACCGTTGAAGAATGCCAGAAATCGAGGGGTGAAGGAAGGAGGGAGAAGCTAGCCCCCCCGTTCCTTCTTCTCCAACTGTATCGCAACCGTGCCATCTTTACCTTTCCCTTCCCCACTACGTTCTGGAGTTCTGTCACTACGAAAGACTCACGATGGAACAGTCTAAAAGTGGGACGAAGGAAGGGGATATTGGCTTTATTTTTGGTTTATTTGTAGAAAAATAAAGCCACTTTCCACAACCCGCTTCTTTCTGTAAAAACACAGATGGAAGAAGATGACCTTTCCTTTCCCGGCCCAGCCAATGCTTGTCATTTTACTTGCCTTGTCTTTTACATTGCCATGTTTTGGAAATGAAGAAGTAAAGCGTCTGGCAAGGAGGTAAGCGCCCATCAATACTAATTGAAGATAACGAATTGGATGGGCACTTCCCATGTCTTTCTATCACTTCTTTCTTTCCTTTTGATGAAGTTGAAGATTGAAAATGGGAAGTGAGAGGCCTCTCTTGACTTCTTCCTCAAGCATAGGCTGCTGTTAATCTTATGCCGTGTGATGCTTGGGAAGAAGAAGAAGAGAAGATAGGAGAGGGTGAGCAGAAGTAACGTGATTCTTTCTTTTCCTCCGATCGCATCCTGATTTTCCCATGTATGTCACCGACGTCCTTCCCTTGTCCAAGTCACGGAGGAAGAGGAACCTATTCTTGGTAATGATTAACTTTCTCTTCCAACCATCGTGATTTTCTTTACATCGCCAATTTTTTTCAACCTCACACCCAGAAGCATTTCTATACTTCTCAGATAATATTGTAAATGGAAGACAACAAAGATAGACATTCAAGCAACAAATGGGATGGTAAACCGAAAGGCAATGATCTTAATAACGACATGTCCATCCACAAATGTTTCCTGGATGAAGTGGAAGAGATAGAAAGGGAAGGATACAAGCTCTCATCTGCTGGTTGCATTCTCATGTACTTGTTCACTTTGCAACCTTTCTACTTGTTTATCTATCTTCCCAATCTCTCTTTCTCTCTCTCGCATTGTAAACGTTGGAGGCATCTGGATGGGGGAAAAAACCCGGGGGGTAATAACAAATATGAAGAAGAGGAACTGGCTAACACTCCTTCTGCTCTCCCGTCTTTCGCGGCTATCAGGATTAGTAAGAATTACGAAAAAGGCCTATGAAGAAACATAATAGATACATAAATAAATAAATCAATAGGCAAATGACAGAACCAAGAACATGAAAGTAATAAAGAATGTTAATAAATGAAACTGTTTATTGGGAGACACATTATTCTTGTCCATCAAGAACCCTCTCCAACACAGTGAAAAACCTAGAGTGGACAATGATGGATATGATAGAAAACGCAATAAGATAATAAAACGCAGTAAGCTATGAGATTACAACGATTCTGTAATTATTGCCTTTAAATTCACCCCGTGACCACTTCATCCCATTTACACAAATATATTGGAGAAGATATTAGTGCATGATGAAGAATAAACACAAATTATAACCATAGATAGTTTGCTTGACTCTGAAGAGGCTGTTGGTCTTTACTCATGGAGTTTATTTAGTTGTATCTTCTTTCTGCTTTTGTTCTATTAGAATTTCCTTGCAAAATCTCTCACTCACTTCCTATTGTATCATTAGATATGTGCAATATTCTTGAGTTTTAGGTGAGAATGAAAAGGATATTAATAGTTCAAAGTTGCTGGAGAAGGACGGAACACTATTTACGAAAGGCTATTTATTTACTAGAATCTCATGAGTAATGTTAACTAATGTGTATCGATTGGGGTGTATTTCTCACCTTCTCTTTTTAAGGGGTTTCCTTTTGCCTCCCAAGCTAATACTTGTCAAATCCTACTGAATCAATCTTCATTAATAAAATCATGTTCATCGCTAGAAGTGACCGAAGGAAGTTAATAGTTTTCTCATCAGAATATTGCCTGTCCAAATAGAGTGATGAATGAAGAGACGCTTAACTGTTATTATTGCTTAAGTGACGTCTCACGGACAGGCTACGTCTCCAGACCCTTTTTTATATCTCTCTGATTGTTCTTTCCTTTTATGTTTATTTGACCAGCATTTGTTTACTATTTACTTCTTCCTCACTGACATTCGATCTTCTCTAACTCTGTTATCTGTTACTGTGGCTTTAATCATTTGATTAACATTTTCCTCTTTCCATTTCCATGCTCTATCTTGGTGAGCCAGCAAACGTTTAATTTAGAAAAAATATGGAAGTGATAGATAGGAGGACATCATTATTTGTTTCTATTAATACTACTTCACGAAGGTATACCGTGTGCTTTTATCACACTCTCTCACAACCAAAGAGAGGATGTTCATCTGGTCTTCATCACCCCTCACCCTTTTTTCTATTACTACAAACTAGCTGGTTCTTTCAGGGTGGGGCATGCCAAGACATTCCTTTCTACTCTTGGGATTGCACCAAAAGAGTCCATGTGCAACAATGAGCCGTTCTGCTCTTGAAGGCGCGCGGCGGCACATTGTACGTAATCTTCCCTGCCACACCCCCCCCCCCCCGGGGAAAAAAAAAAAACAACAAGAGGAAAAACTAAAGAAAAACGTGCCTCGCCCGTCGAGGAGCGCAGCCGCGCCAAGGTGCGCCAGGATGTGTGCGCCGACTGGCCGAGAGCTTCGTCCACCACGGCACGACTGGAGCTGGCGCTGGTGGCCTGGCGAAAGCTGATGTTGAACAGGGCCAGCTGTAGGTGGTTTTGGATGTTTAACAGGATGTTTAACAGGATACGTCCCGTCGGTTTGGTTTTAAACATCCTCCTGTCCCTTTCAAGGTGGCCTTCGGAGCGGTTGAAAAAAGTAGGAAGACAGGACAATCTACAGGAAATGGCCCCAAAACCACCCCAAACAGGGATGCTTACATTAAACGTCATGGGCATTCGATCCGCCAACAACAAAACTGAACAAATGAACAAATCACACACTGTTTGGCTTTTAGACACACTGTCAGACACAGGGATCCTTGCATTATTATACACCTGCACATTGACTTGTAAATGGTGGTTTCCCTATATTTGGGTGTTGAAAAAGCAACATGTTTCAAATGGGCAAAATGTATCGTTTAAGGAGCCCTGTTTAACCCGAAGGCCAAAAAGGTGAGATGGCGGTGGCTCAAAAACCGGAATTCCAAATGGGTTGCCCGATCGGTAAGTGGAAAGTCATGGACCAAAACCTGCGGTTTGCCCCTGCTGCTTAATTTTGAGCCACACCCAGATCTTTATAGGGAGATGTTCACAGGGAAACATGGGCGGCTCAATGTTCAACTTGCTTTTGAAGGGAGAACAGGCATGGATGTGCAAGGCAAAGGACTTGGAGTCCATTTTGGAAGGACAGGTGCGGGCCAATCTTGGCCAAGGCTCCGGAAGGTTAACCTTGTGTATATTCAGCTCCTTTGGCAGGTTTTCCAAGCCATTTCACTTTGGGAGCCTCCACAAGTGGCGATCGTTTTGCATAAAAAACCACCAGGAAGTTGATCAACATTTGAAGCGGAAGTCCAGTGAACCATTCAAAGGACGGGTGTTGGGATCTTTATTTGGGTTGAAATCGCACGCACGCAAACAATTATCCATCCGTCCATCCCATCCCATCCCATCCCATCCCATCCCATCCCATCCCATCCCATCCCATCCCATCCCATCCCGTCCCGTCCCGTCCCGTCCCGTCCCGTCCCATCCCATCCCATCCCATCCCATCCCATCCCATCCCATCCCATCCCATCCGTCATCCGGCCAACCTTTTGGAACCTTGACAAGTGCACCACAAGAACAAAACCAGAAGGTCAGATCCGGTCGACTCATTTTGGTTGCAACTGAGCAATTAATGGGAAGGTGCTATTCCCCCGGAAACAACGCAGAAATCCCGTTACCAACAAGCCATAAAGTGAATGGTTCCCTGTGAAAGGGAAGGCTTGGGTTCTCAGCTGTCCCCAAATCCCCTGCTGAAAGCTTCACCTTTAGTGGGTTCAGCTCGGAAACCCAACCACCTTCCACCAACTGAAAACAACTAAACCCTTAGGAAAGACGGCTGGGAACCGCTAAGGGTTATCTCTTTCCTGCATTCCTAACTTCCACCGCTCGCGGCGTGACGCGCGAATTCCGCCGAGGCCTCAGTCCTCAACGGCAGGCAAATGCTGCCGCTGGGTTCCAGAAGGCCGTGGCAGAGGCAGAGGTACTCCTCAAGCAGAAGCCCTCCATTGACTCACTTCCGGAGTTGATCGGCCCAAGTAAGTACCCAAACGGAGGAGTTGACTAGCCCAAACAAGTACAAAAAAAACGTGTTTATCAAAATGGTGAAAAAACCCAACAAGTACAAAGAGTCCTTGAACTCAGGGAGTGAGTTGAAGGGCTTAGGGCCGCCATTGGAAGGTGTTGGACCAGAGGGTCCGTTTGATGCAAATGGGCGACCAAACGCTGAATATGGCCGTGTCATTTGATCTAGGTGAGTGTTCAGTGATCACGCCGTGAAAATACGTCCTCACAGCAACCACGTTACCCCACAGCCCTCCACTGCCGAAATATAAAAGCATAAACGACTGGAATTGGGGAGCCGGGTACATCGAAACAACATGTAGTCATGATTATGGGGGTAAACTATTAGTAATGACTTCCATTTGCTTAAGTCCGACGGAAAAATATAATTTCAGTCGTGACAGATTCCCTTTAAAACCAACATGGGAAAATACGACATATTCTGAAAAGCACATCGAAGATCACGTTGCCCCTACAGTTTATTCTGCAAACCGGAATAACACCCCAAGGATCCCGGAGCTCAATATGGATAACCCACGGCTCCTGAGCAACTCGAGGCCAAAGCATCGCCATTCACGATTCAACAACTCTAAGCATCAGCTATAGTGTCTTCAATTAACACACGTTCACCCGCATTCATGGGGGTGAGGATCCTAACATATCATTTACCTCTGCTGACTCTCCAAACTTGTGAGCAAACCATCCCAAAGAGACTCTATGCAGTATGTACCTACATTTACCCTCCAAATGTGTCATGATTAGTGGGTTCCTTGCGGAGTGCTATTAAGAAAGGGCTTCTTCCCCCAAAACAGGACACCCAGGCTTGGGTCAATCCATTCAAGCGCAAAAAGGACTCCAGTGATGGACGACAATTTGGCGCACCGGGAACCCCCCTACAAACAAGGTTGACTCAACACCGGATTACTGGTAGTGGCTTCCAAAACCAGTAACACATGGTGAGAAAAGGGCAACTCAAGTTGGTTCTCTTGAGCGAACACCTTTGCACACATGCACAAAAGGAGAAACCCACCAGTCCAAACAACATGCTTCGTCTTGCAGATTTTACTAAAAGGAACATCGGTCCCTGGCTCCTTTGTTGGTGTAGGAGTTTAAAGGGAAAACACCTTCAACCACATGTTGAGAGGGCAGCCTTCCGTCGACTCCAAGTTTTGCAGGAAAACACCGTGCCCAAAACCTGGAATGCAAAAAACAAGAAAGAACACCACCGCCCTCCACAAAACCACCACCCTCCCCAGAAACCTGGAATGCAAAACAAAACACGGAAAACCGCCAAAGGTCCGGCCGCGCCCTTCGCGTTTGCGTCTTCGATCCCGTTCATTCGTCCGGCCTTGTCCACCATAGCTCCGGCGAACTGCGCCAAGTACCACCGCGCCTGCACGGTCTTCTCGCCGCCGATCACCGCCGGCAGCACGCCTCACGCCAGCGAGTCGCGGCGCACGGCGCCGCCAGCGACAGGCGCTCCGAGGGCCGTCCAAAGGCACAAAATGGTCCTGCCCTAAGCATCAAACGGGCCCTCAAAAAGGCCAGGTCCAAAACCTTGCGATGGAGGTCTGTTTCAGCCTCAATGGCTCCGGATGCTTGTGGTGGTAATTAGAAACAAATGGACAAACGGTTTTGGTAGCTTAGGGCTCTGTCAAAACTCCCTTTTCGCTGGTGACATTGGGCATCAAGATAGGGATTTGGACCTTCTATGTTGCCTGTTGCTTGTGAAAAGGGAAGTTAGTCGTCATGACAGCAGAATGAGTCCTCACTTCAGGTTGGTTCCAACCATTCTAAGCATCCTTCTTTTCACAGACCTGCTGCTTTTCCACCCCGCCACCCCCCCACCCCACCCCCCCACCCCACCCCCCCACCCCACCCCCCCACCCCACCCCCCACCCCACCCCCCCACCCCACCCCCCCACCCCCACCCCCCACCCCACCCCCCCACCCCCCACCCCCCCCACCCCCCACCCCCCACCCCCCCACCCTGGTGCTTGAGGTTTGGAAAGAAAAACTGGCGAGCCCTACAGCCTCGGCATTCCTCGGGGAGCCAAGTTGCTTCCCGGAGCCAAGGCCAAGGCTTCCCGCTGTGCTTTCATTGCGCGCGGCTTGCTGGGGTTGGGGCAAGCCCTTCTTCCAGCTGGAGATACCAAAAGTTCAATCAGTCTCCTTCTTTTTCCCTTAGAACACACACACACACACACTGCATTCGTTTGTTGTTCCAACATTTGTCCAACCCTTGCAAGGATCAAGATCCCAACACCACAGCGCTTCGCCGCGCGCTCGCCTGAGGTCGGAAGATCCAGTCGCGACACCGAGAAGAGCGTCGCCTGCGAGCGCTCGGCGTAAGTCCCACCCGAAGCAGGACACTCCACTTCCATTTGGGTAAGACCCCTGTAAAAAGATAAATATTTCCAGTAGTGATAGATGTCCTTCAAAACCAACAGGGGAAAGTAAAACATATTCTTAAGCAAATGGAAGTCCATTGAAGGGGTTAGGACACTCCAATTGCAAGCCTCCAAAGGAGCCGTTTTGAGGGCCCAACATGCTGCACTTATAAAAACAAAAAAAAAGAGCTCAAGCAGCGGTTCAGGGTGGTGGCCGAGAAAAAAACAAAACACGCAGGGGTTAGTCTACTTGTCCATTGGTGTTCCATGTTTTTCAGCCCCCCCCCCCCGCCAGAATTTGCCGAACTAAAGAACCTTGCAGCCTTGGCAAAGGCGTGGCTTCCCTGAGCGAAGTCCATGAAAACCTGGTATTCCCGTAACAAACTCAACCAAGTGCGGCCTTCCCTTAACATGAAAGAGGTGGTTCCCTCTTGAATGGCTTTCCCGCAAGAACAAGTGGCTTGCCAGAAAGAAGCAAAAGCCATGCTTCTTCAAAGCCAAAGAAAGCATGGTTTCCCATCTAAAAGCGACGAGGTGGCTTCCCCCCAAGCAAAAGAAGCACACAAAGGGGGCTTTTCAGTCAGGCCAACTTGAAGAGCGGCATCCCCCCTCAAAACACCATACCACAGCCTGTTATTTCTGGGTGTGCCACGTTTTGAGGGTACCCTTAGGGTGGATTTAAAGGGAAATAGAAAGGACATCCCATCATTTTTTGTCCTCCGTGCTTACCACAAAAGCGCAGGGGCAGTGGCATTCGCGAAATCGACATGCCCATGTATGAATACTTGTCTGGAATCCCCAGGTCTATTGAGCGAGCAATTCATTGCGGCGTAACTATGGATCAGCTTTAAAGGCAGTTTAACGTGTTCGTGGGTGGATGCAATGTCAAACATGGGACCTCAAGGTTATGATGTCCTTTTGACCTCCATGTATGCCACGGTCAAACTTATTTATTCCCTCAAGCCGACATAAGAAATTACACCTCCCCCCCATGTCCACCCCCAATGGACCACAATCATTTTGACCATTCCCGCATGCGTTGGAGAAGTAGCTGGATGCCATTGTTATTACAGTTCAACAAACAGAGGAGACTGAAGAGCAAGCCATGCATTCACCTCCAATTTTCCATTGGGGCCCCAGTGGCGGTTTGGAGCCCGGTGGGTTTCCCATGTACCCTCTGCAAGAGCCAGGGGTTCAAACCACCAATCCAAACCACGAATTGAGGGCTACCTGAACTTGATTGGTCAGCAAAACATCCGAACTAGTCTTCTGCCACACCAGATTTCAAAAGTGGCTCAAGTCCATAAAACTTCAGAAGTGAGCCCCGCGGATCACTTACACTGGGTAGCTGACCAAACTCGGTTCATCTTTATCCAACTCAGTTCACCTTGGGGGTGTCTTTTGTTAAACGGTACCCTTTAGGTGTGGTCAAAAGGACAAACGGAGCACCGCAATTGTTTTGGGGTCCATTTTAAACGACACGACCAATTCAGCCTGCCCTCAACTCATGTTGGAGGAGTGGGTCCCTGGCCTTCAGCTGATTCGCCAGGCTTTGCAGCGCTTGCTCCGTGGATACCTCCGGAGTTTTCCCGATGGCCACCAGCGTCTCGTCCGCGTAGATCACGTCCACGGGCTTTTGCAAGCGATCGCCGGAGCCTCCGTTTTCGACAAGATGCTCAGCTGGTTGCAAGTGGGGGGTCCAGCTTTCAGAAGGGCCCGCCATGGGGCCTGCGTTTGTGAAACACCTGAACAACTCAGAACAACGCGCATCAGTACACCATTCCCCAGCTTTTGTGCTGCCAAGAACAGGGAATTGTCCACATAGGGAATTCCGGAGTCGGCCATCCCCTATCCCAGATCCCCTCTGCCGCTCGGCAGCCGCGGATAACGCAAACGGAACCCAACTACCTTTGGTTCAACTCCGCTGTAAGCACTCGGGCCTGGAATTGCGTCCGCCGGTCGATCCCGTACGGGTCCCCCATGAAAAACAAAAAGGCGCTGGTTGAACTTCTTGAACACCACACTTAGACAACCTCCTCGGTAGTCGTTTCAAGAAGTCTGGGCTTGCATTTAAGCACCAGCCTCAAGAGGTGTCCACCACTGTTCGAAAAACACGAACCCCGCCCCACGCTTCTTCCTTTTGTTCCTTTGCCTTGGCCCTTCCAATAGGTCAAACTGGTTCTCCCGCACATCACCTTCCCCTGACACCCCAGCCCCCCGTTCGCCAACCACCCTTCCCCTTCCCCTGCTCACTTCCTCAGTGGACTGGCCAAAAGCGTGAGATTTACCGCTCAAATGTTCACCCAAACAGTGACTGAAGTCCATGAACTCAGGGAGGGCGCCTCGTTCCACCCCCCCATCTCCCCATCTCCTCCCCATCTCCCCGGACGTTTTCACGTTCGTGAAAAAAAAAAAAACAAAAAAAAACGCATTTTGTTCTAAAAAAAAACAAAAACAAAAACCAAAAAAAACAACGCTCTGGAGCGATCGATCCATCCCCCGCCTCTGGGGCGCACCTCCTGCCAGGCGCTGAAGTCCGGACCTTCGACGCTCCCGCCGTTTTCGCCGCATCCGTCGCCCGAGTTGCCCGAGGCCCACAGGCGCCGCAGCTCTGAAAGCAGCGCCAGGGCCTCCTTCTGGTCCAGGCCCTGCGAGAGGAGCTCGCTATGAGCATTGGACCCCAACTGCTTTTTTTGGAGGATATTTTGAACTCTCCCTTAGGCCCGGCTTGTCTTCCGCAAGTCTTTTTTTTACTTCAACTGGGCTTGTTTTCCAGGATTTCCAGCCCTCAGCTCCCGTTTGGTTGTTCCCCTAAGCATCAAACGGGGTGGAAATCCTTGGTGCAAAACTACCCTTGCCTTGCTACGGAGTTCAAATCCCTGAGTGAGCGAGCCATTTGACACACACCCGGCTCCGCAGGGTGAAAACGGACCAGACCCTGGCACCCATCAAACGAAGGAACAAGGATGCCCCGCACCAAATTTTGGCCAACCCCTCCCCTTGCCCAGTTTGCCCTCTGATCCCTTTGTGCAAAACAAATTACAGCGCGTTTATTCAACTTTAGCCCCCCTCCCCTTTGTTTCCGAAAAATGCACCATTGACGAAATCATTCAGTTTCCCCACACCTCATCTCCCTCCAGCGACAGCCAAACCCCCAAACCCTCCCAAAGCCTCCCAAAGCCTCCAGCGACCCACCCCCAAAAAAATCCCCAAATCCGGCAGCTCAAGGCCGATCCCCAACTACCAACGCATGCCCCCGTAAACGTCACTGTAGGCCCCTGCAAAAAGACATCTTCTCACTTCGCGCTGGTTATTGACACCCAAGGCAAACAGTTCAACAGGTTTGGCTTTGGTCCAGCATGTCCAAACCTGGGTATTACCACTGGGTATGGTTGCAGTTTCCAACACGCAAAGCAAGGCTATGCCACGAGCGAAGGAACCTGGGCTGTCCGTTTGCAGATCCCCTGCCAAAGAGTGAACACTTGTAGTGGGTAAAATGGAACCCCAACCACCAAAAAGCCAAAAACAGCTAACCACAAAAGCCTCCGTAAGTTGAACCGGACGATTCGCTAGGAACCACCGAGAATCCCCTACGAAAAGTTCAGCCTTCAGTGAGTTAAATGGACACCCAACCACAAAACACAAAAAAAGCTAAAAAACAACCAAGTTGAGCCGCACGATTCCAAAAGCCTCTTGCCCCGCATCTTCCAATTCCCCGCCTTCAGCACGGAGCCCACCTGGAGCCCGTGGGGTACGCCGCCCTCCGCCAGAAACCGCCGCAGCACCTCCAGCGCCTTCGGCGGATGCGCTTCGCAGGCGGAGAGCAGCGAGGAGAAGGTCACCGCGTCCGGCTCCAGGCCTCGGTGCAGTTGCCCGAGATCGGCTGGTCTCGTGGATTTGTTTGTAGCCCAAGAAAACCTAGGTGCTACAGTAGAGAGGTTAGAATCAGGGTACCCTTTCTTCTGTAGTCTATTTTAGCAGGGGAACCGAATCTCCCCAAACAAAGGGTAAAAGAGCACTACTGGGGGACCTAGAAACATTTGTCGGTGTGTCTCAAAATTCTATCGCTGGGGTTACGCAGGATTTTGGTCGACCTTTCTCTTTGCCAGGGTTCCATGTCGGCCCCTCATTTTTGAGCCACGCCCATTTGTCGGTGTCCGGGTTCCCTTCTGAGAAGAGCCCCAAAAGGGAACCCTGAAAAAAAAGGACAAACATAGATCCGGACCCTGAAACTACTCAAAATGGGTTATTGCTCCCAAGGTGATGGGTGATTGCCCTATGCATGTTGTGACCTCGTCAATTTGGGGAGGATCTCGTTTCCGAGCAAAAACTCTACGTTATTCTATTCCGACCATATCAATACACAAATCAATTGTTGGTTGCTGTTCATGTTGTTTCAGCCAAAGGGGCCCCGAGCCTCGAAAAAAGACGAGCCATTCATGGTCTCCCTATAAACCTCCCCCTTTTTGGCGCCAGGGCTGGAACGGGGAACCCTCGAATTGGTGAATCGGACTGGTGGTTTGCGAGGTCAGGTTAGGTTAGGTTAGGTTGGGTTAGGTTGGCGATTCGCTGCTCTGTTTCAATATTTGCCCCGCATCAAAGAGGCCCTGAAAAAGGCGCCTTTTGGGGCTCCAACACCTTTTCAATGGAGGTCCTAACCGCTCCAATAAAAAATTATCATGATGCTTAGGGTACAACGTTTCGCTTGGGTCCAACTTGTGTATGCGAAATGGCGAAAGGCTGAAAAGCCAAACGGAATCCTCAAGGGGCGTTCAGAAAAGAACCCCGCAGCTCGAAATACTGGGTCCGCTCAAGCGACACCTTCAAAATTGCCCCTGAAACCACCCCCAAAAAATTCGTTTCATTGGCTGTGGGTCACAAAGAGGTACCCAAAATGGGGTTCTGGTAAATGGAACCAAGGACTGAAACCTGCGGCACAGGACATTTTCAGATCTGCCTGCCAGGGCTCTGCCGCACTTCATCTGCTCCAGCAAGCTGAGAGCTTCTTCCCATGAAGAGCCACATGCGGCGAGCGCCGCGTTGAAAGAGACTTTGCCTTGGACGGGCGCGCCGGCAAAAAGCTTCACACAACATGCTGCTGCTTCCCATCACACAGTGGAAGTGGTTTTCCTTTCGTTTCCCTTCAACTCCGTCCCAGAAAGGGTTCCTGACATACCCACGTGTTGCTTGTCATTAAAGACCCGGCGCATGAAAAGTTGGTTGGCGGAGAGACCAAGCGAACCCCTCGACTTCGACGTGGTCAGTCCGGATTTGGTCATATGAGCCGTGTTTTTTTAATGCTGTGGGTGGGGCGGGCCTATACACTGGAAGCGCATGCCTACGCGGAGGCTACGCGGCTGTCTTTCCCCCTAGGAGCTACGCGGAGGCTACGCTGCTCATATGCTATGCTTGCAACCCTGACTTGTCTCAAGAAACTGGCCCCTCAACATGGAGAGCCACTGTCCCTCTGGTTCCCCGAACAAAATCCCTTCAGGGTTCCGCCGACAGAGAACACCCAAATCATTTGAAGCTCCGCTTACCAGGCTTTCTGGCCTTCACAACTTGGACACAGATGCTTTCCCAGCCAGCCCACACCCCATAAGAAAGATTGGTGGCACTTTTTTGTTGGCGCCGATTCACGCTGAAACCCCATCAAACGAAAAGAAACCATAAGGGCGCTGAATTTTTGGGGCTCGGCCGAATCTTGATCAAGCGGCTGCGCTGGACGCTTGTCGCGTCCATCTCCTGCGAAGATGTGAGCGGCGATTTGAACCCTCATTTGAATCACAGCTTCTTCGGGGGGCACCCCAAGCACACCACCCCCAAAACATATCCTCTCGGGGGAAGACTAGAATAGTCCAAAATTAGATCACAGCCCCTCCTGTAGATCACAGCCCCTTCGGGGGGTACCCCAAGCACACCCTTCCAAGCACATCCTGTTGGGAAAAACTAAACTAGTTCCAAACTGGAGGTGTGTTTCGGGGGGGGGTTGTTTGACAGCGTGGTAGGAGCAGCTTTATGATAAAACATGCTTGCGCTGCCAATGCTGATCGGATGGTTTCTTGTGACCGGGGAACCAGCTTATTTTTGGGATGCCTCAGATTAGCATGGACCTCCAGAACCTCCAAATTAATTACAATCCGACGTCACTATTCCTTAAGCAAGCCTTCATTCCATTTCACTTTCAGGGAACCAGCTGATTGTCCGTGCGAGTCACACACCTCAGCTTTGGCCGGTCGAATCCCCTTGGTGAAAGACCCTATTGGACTTAAGCGTCGGTTGGCCGTACCTTGTCGGAGGCGCTCTCCCGAAAAAGGCACCGCCCCAAACGGTGGTAGAAGCTGCCGCAATCTTGTCAAAACAGAGGCGTCACCAGCAAACGCCCAGGTCTCCCTTGTGTTGCCCTGGTCTTCTCGTAGTCTTCCTGTAGCTCTGCCGTGGAATTTCAGCCAAAAAATCCGATCTGATGTGTCTGTGCTTGTTTCATAGTCTTTCTGTAGTCTTCCCGCACTCTGTGGTGACTTGCTATGGTCGCGTCGTGACTTTCTAATCTATGTTCCAGGGAATGAATTTCTGTGGTGCTTCCGGTATTGGTTGCTACAAAAACCAAGGGTGAGGACAACCCTGGTTTAAGCATATTAACATCACCATTTGGTGGTTGAATCAGCACTCTCAGCCTGGTATCCCTTTCAATACTCACGTCCTGAGTGGATGGCCCAAAACAAGTCGATACTACAATTGGTCTTCCCCAAGCAACTAATGTCCATGAACTCAGGAAGTAAGTTTATGGGAAGCGGGTGATCAAGAGGGACTGAGTCCGCTGAGACATGGGGAGCCAGGGCATGGTTGTCTAAGTCCTCCAGTAGAGAGGTTAGAATGAGGGTGCCAACTTTTTTCTGTAGTCTATTTTAGTAGGGGAACCCTCCCCCAACAAAGAAACGGTAAAAGGGCACTACTGGGGGACCTAGTTGTTCAAACAAACATTGACGGGTTTTTGCAGGTTCGCCGGTCGATCTGTTTCGAGCTTTGAACCCCTGGCTGCCAGTGAGCTCCTGCAAGATCTCCAGGGCAGCAGCAGGCGTTTGACAGGCGCTGATGCCCGCATTGAAGCTGACCTGCCCGGAAAAGCTTCGCTGGGAAGATGCTTTTTGAAGGTACTCGATTGGCCTATGCCACCCCTTCCATACAACTTTTTTGGGTTTCTCAGGCCCGACAGGTCCATTTTTCTGGCATCAATATTACTCTCACAAGTACTTTTGAAAAACCCACCGGCCCCAACATGGCGGCTTAAAGAGAAACTGTCCCCCAAAAGGTACTTTCAGAAACCCACAACTGCGCTTCCAGGGACGCCACGGCATCTCACTGTTAGGCCCGATCCTGCAGAAGAAATGAGGGCATTAGACAAGTGTCTTTTTTGAGGGGATCCTCCCAAGTTGGTAATTTGTTCCTGTTAATTTTCACAAGGGGTGCTCCCTTGGGTGTAGTTTTAGCACTGCAAAGCTCAGAAAACACTGCAAATACCATGGTTTTGTGCATCTTATTTTTCCCCTAAAAGCAACAAACACTGGGTACCCCCAAAAACAAACACCCCCAAACTGGTTTCTGAGACTCGGGGAACCAAAAGGAACCCGCTGAACCGTTTAAATGGAAACGGAGACATGACCGAAGAATGCGTCAACGCGCAGCCGGGCTTCTGCATTGGCCAAAAGGACTATGGGGATGCATTCCAAGAAGCTCTCCCGAGCAAAACGGGAAACACATGGCCAATGGCTGGATTTGCTGGTTGCTTTAGAAAAAGAAAGCCGCCAGCGAACAAGGAACCACCTTGTCTTGCCCTTTATCCTAACAACTACTTGCTCACATGCCCTCGACATGGCTCAACCAAGGAAATATAATTGTTCACAGAACGGCTTTGGGCAAGTCACAAAAGGAAACCCCCGTTGTTTGCTAGTTGCCTTTTTGAAGGAACACCTGCCCAGCAAGGAAGCAAAGGGCCTGCATCAAGCCCAAGAATGCTTCAGACCTGGGCAGCCCTCAGATACCCTGCTAAACGTTTAACTTTTAGTGAGTTAAATGGAAACCCCCACTGCACACTAAAAGGCTAAAAAGTTAAGGGGATGGCTTGGAGCCACCAAGAAAAAGTGGTGGTTTCGCGTACTTTCGGTCGGTTGTTTGTTGTTTTTTGGTTCGCGCACACATCTCAGCACATCCGCTTTATCGGGCTGTTTTGTTTCTGCCTGAAACCGCGTGAAATCCAAACCCGCTACGGCGTCCCCCAATTTTGGGCTCGCTGAAAAGCCATGAGACAAGCGACAGGCTAGCAGCTCAGTTTTGGATAGAGCTATCCCAAAAGGGAAACCTGGCTGGCTAAGGAGTGCCCAACTACTCGAGATAACGCTTGGTTCCACTAACATGGCAAGGTTTCTGTAGCCCTTCCTATTGTAAACTCCCTGAGACCGGCTATAGACACCAAACCACCTGCTACATTTGGCCAACCCTAGAGTCTCCTTTAAACCTGTTTTTTACATTTTGGACTAAATATGAGACATTGTCTCTTTCCATTCTAGGTCCTCCAGTAGAGAGGTTAGAAGAAGGGTACCCGGGTACCCGTTTCTCTGTAGTCTATTTTAGTAGGGGAACCCTCCCCAACAAAGAAACGGTAAAAGGGCACCTAGCTGCGGGACCTAGTAGTCTTAGCGGAACCCTCCCCCACAAAAGGGTAAAAGGGCACTACTGGAGGACCTAGCTACTTTAAATTTTGGAGTACATATGACACACAGTCTCTTCATATTCTATCGTTGGAGCAGGGCCATACGGGTCTTCAACGGCACGGTGGCACGGACCTCGGATCGTGGCCTCGTTTCGCTGCACCTGAAGCTCTGGCATTGCCCTCAGCACCTCCAGCGCGCGCTCCCAGTGGCCACAGCGCGCCAGGCAAGTGATGCCTAGGGCGTGGACGTAAAAACTTCTCAGGGGCTCTGAACGCATTCGGCCCTGAAAATTGGAAAACCCGATGTTTTGGCTAAACAAAAACAACAATGTTTGGATCGAACTTTGGGAGGGGGTTTGATTGAAGGGTTGGGACCGAGCTTTGCTGGGATAGGGAAGTCTGAATCAAGTCTCTCCCAACATTCAGGTAGACCCTCGGAACCAATCCACCAACCCCCACCACACAAACCAAGAGGTACTGTCAAGGTCGCATCCCGACGAGATGGATACAGCCTGCACTCCGAGGACGACCTCAAGGATACGACTCGTGAACCCACTGCGATTCTCTCAGCTGGTTTTCATCGAAGGTCAGCCCAAATTTTTCCGCGTGGGTTCTCCGTCCATCCTCGAAGCTTCTTCCATCCTGGAAGGAAGGAACGCCTCAAAGAATTGGACAAAAGACACCTGAGCATCCTCCAAATCCAGGAAATATCGTTCAAATCCCATGTTTAATCTCTTGAAACAAGAGAACAGTACCCCAAAGAATGTTCCGAATCTCTGAGCACCCTCCAGATCCGAACAAAAAATATGCCGTGGGCCCCATGTTATTAACCCCTCGATCACCTCACCCGACGCGCATCACCTCACCCGACGCGCCAGGCGGCAGATGCTGCAGCTGGCCGCATCCGGCGCGAGGCGCTCGAAGGCCTCCTGGAGTCCTTGGCCAAGGTTCTGCTCCTTCCTACTGTGGCTGGGGATGGGCGGAAGATCCGGCGGAAGGTCCGGTTCCCAGCCGTGGCTCATCCTTGGACCCTCCGTTCTTCCTCCAAGGCAAGGGACCTCCATTCGGAAGGTTTGGAACTCAAAAGGGGCCTAGGTGTCCGACGTAGATTCCTAGGCACTATGACCCATTATTGGTTGTAAGACTTCCTTTATTGGTTCAATACACTTTGCTATATGACCCAGGAGGTACTATTGGTTATAAGACTTCCTTTATGATAGACGACTGGACCTAGGATGGTTTCCTGTTTCCTTGCCTTTTGATCGGCTTAGATGGGTTTTATATTTACCAGGGAAATCCATCTGGTGTTTTTAAAAGGCCACCTATGGCTGTGGCCGGGGGGGAAGGGCGGAAGACTCGGCTGGGCCTCAAAAGGGGCCTGTTTAAGAGCCCAAGATGCTTAGGGTAAGCCTACTGTGGATGGAAGTCCTGGATGAATGGAACTTAATGGAACCCTCTAAATCGTGGGATAAATCACCTAACGTCCGAACATTTGGTAAGCCCACATTTCTTCCATGGTCCAAACCCAAAGGTAACTAAAGCCTGTAGGTTCCATTTAAAACCACCAAGTGCAAATAACAGAATCTCCATTTCAGCAAATGGAAGTTACTTAGAGGTCAAGAAAATGGCTTCGGTGGTCCAGCTGGTGTCCTTTCAAAACCCTGAAAAGACAAGGGGGCGCCCTCGAGAGACCCGGCGTCCCTGCGTTTAGTGGGGAATCAGACCACCTCTGCAGGGAACACCCCCCCGATTTTAATCAACTGGGATTGATTCATATGGGGTCAACATTACCTGGACCAAACTGCCCATGAAGGGAGTTCGCCATCATTCTGGGTTGCAATCACCTTTTTGTTGGACGTTTTGAGGGTCCAGGCAAGTTATCTTTTAAGGGTCACTTCAAAATTCCAGGGTCGGTGTTGAAGGAAACCACCAGTTGGATAGTTTATATGGCCATTCCAATTCTCATTCGCGACTTCTCGCACCAGCAAGAAGCCTCCAGAACCAAAAGCCTCCAGCACCAAAATCTCGGAACGACCAGAAGTTGCTGTGACCAAAGTCGATGTTGCTGAACATTCAGGTCCGTAGGCTCAGCTGAGAAAATGAAAAACACATTTTGGGGTGAACATGCGGGTCACCTTTCATTTCGAGACTCCCTTGCAGGTGATCTCTGAGATTTCCCGATTAGCCTTCTGAGTTTTCTCATTGGTCATGGGACATGTTGCGTCTGGGATGAACTCAGAGGCCAAACTCAGACCCGGTTGAGTAGGGGGTGGCCCTAAAACCTCCCCCGATCTTAATTCATCTGCTCGGATGCCCATGGGAAAAACAAGGAATGTAGGCATCCGATTTTGGTTGGTTGAGTTTGAAGGAACCGGAACCCTTACCCCAAAAAAAAGGTTGAAACAAACGGCACCACGTGGCAACATTCCCATGCGGGGTCAACATTCCCCTGGATTCCCCTATGGACTCCGACTCCCATATGGGTTTCTGCTGATTCCCTTTGGATTCCCAGGGTTTCCCATGGATTGAGAATGGTGCGAACTTTTTTCGTGCATCCTCCGTGCTGGGACCCTCTAGTGAACATCATTTAGGTGGGGTTTTATGTCCACCAACCACTTTGCAGGGGGTTCCATATTTAATTTCATGGCCAAATGAGGTCAACAATTTAAGTCAATCCATTCAAAACTGGTTGTCCACTATATCAGTCCACTTAAACGTTGACCCCATGTCCAAAACTGCCCATGAAAAACCATGTTCCCTTTAGGCAAAACAAGAAATGGATGAGGCCAATGTCCACCAAAAAACAACTGAGTCATAATCAAAAGCCGGTATTAAAGTGGTCTACTCAGAACCACGTAAAGGATTCAGAAGGCCGCGAAGGCGCCTCTTACCAACCTTCATCAATCCTCGAATCGGTTTTGAGGACGTGGCTCAGCTGGGTTCAGCTTGATTCATGTTGCTTTGATCCCCCTTTAACACCGAAATGGATGAGGCCAATGTCCAAAAAAACGACAAGCTGGGGCGCTCAAATTCCTTGTGGTAGAATCAACAATCCAGAGACACAACTCGCATGCGCAGAGCAGCTAGTAACCATGAGTCACATAAGTGGACACCCAGCATGGCTTAGGTGGGGTGGATTCATCTGGGGTCACCACAAAGTCGATGAATCATTTCCAGTAGTAAAAAAAAAAAGGAAAGAATAACACTATTTCCAGTAGTGGTGAACTCCTTTTAAAACCAACAAGGGATATGAGAAAAAAAACACCTTAAGCAAATGAAAGGCTATGCTACCTGTCCCTACACCTGGCGCAGAATGCAAAGTCGATGAATCAAAGAGCGAGGCGCCCATGGAATACAGCAGCGCAGCGCAGCGCTGCCACTGGGCCCCGGAGGCCACTGCAGCAAGCGCCCCGTTGAAGCTCTGCCTACCCACTGGCCGTCTCCCGGCGGTGGGCTTAGGGGGGTTGGTTGGTATAGGCTCAAAGCCCATATTGGTGTGTTTCGACTAGGTCCTCAAGAGGGGTTAGAATAAGGGTACCAACTTTTCTCTGTAGTCTATTCTTGTTTAGGGGGGGTTGTTGGTATAGGGTTTGCCTATTTTGGTGTTTGTTTGTATATATATATATATATGTATACAGAAGGGCTCCTCATGGGGGGCGGGTTTTTTGACACACAGGAACTTAGTAGTTATTGTTTTTGTTGTGTGGACGCTCTCTATATGTACATATATAAGTATATTTTTTGTGTATGGCTATGAATTTCAATAAGGGACCCTTTGGTGGCAACAAAACGGCAACAAAACGGAAACCCACTGCCTGGCCTCTCCGCCCAGTGGGTTTGCGTAGGGTTTTAGGAACTGTGCCGAGTTTTGTTTATGCTTTGTATGGGGGTTTAGGGCTGGTTTAGGGCTGGTTTAGGGCTGGTTGAGGCGCCGCCCAAAGTTTTCAGATTGTTTTGCAGGGGGCTTGTTCATCTTCATATTACCTTGTTGCCTCCCGAGAACAAAAAAAAGGACTGGGATCCCTAAAAAATGTCGTGGACAAAATTTCCGCTTCTCGCACCACTTGGAAACTATGGTTGAACCATTCGTTTGTTGCTATTTTATAGGGGAAACATCATTTCAGGGTTTCTTAGGTGGTGCAGGATTTCGTCCATCCACAGTATCACCCAAACAAACCTTAAATCTGAACCCAATTCACCCACATAATGCTCCTGAAGCTAACAGTGCTTGGGAAGAGTCTCGAGAATCTTCCCTCCATTTACTTTGCACCGTTGGTTTCCGTCACGGCTCAGCCGCCAACCCCTCGCTGAAACACGGGGAAACAAATCAAATGCCTAGCTGGAGGCTCCTTCAAGAATGGGGGGGCAATACCCAAAATAAAGGGTCAGGACCCCATTTTAGGGGTCAGAGAGACTCCAGGCATCGTTGTGAACAGCCACCTTGCCTTTACATGCAAAGGGGCTAGCTTAAAGGTTTTGGCTGGCCCCGGTTCTCATGGCAATGACCAAAAATCGCTTAATTGCTGTTCACCAGCAAGGGACCCCCAACAAACACTTTTGCTGCCGAATCGGTGAGCTCGATTGAAAACACCCAAGTGATCACTTATACAGGTAAATTACATTGCTGGGCCTTATCTTTATGCATCTGATAAACTGAAACAAGTATTCCAACATCTGAACTACAAATTGGATTCCCAGATGAAGTTTCTCCATCATGGTGAGCTCAGCAGTTGTATCCATGACCCTTGTCTAATAACTGATAACCTTTGTCCAAAGGGATAGTTCTCAGAACAGCAAGCCGTCCCTCCACTTTGTGGGAAGAGTTGCTCACCTCCTGAGTCGACTGGCCAAAACAAGTACCCATGTTTTCCATTTACCCCTAAAATGGTCTGCTCAGAAAGTGACTAAAGTCCACGAAGTGAGGCAACCAACCCAAGCAGTGTCCAAGCCCCAGTTGGCGGACGCAGGCAAGCGGCACGTCACAGCACTTCCCGGACGAGTCGAGAATCGCCAGGGCCGCCCGCCAGCCACCTACGCGGCTGGAAAAGGCGTTTGCAACTTCGAGCTGATTCTTCCGGCGGGAGGCATAGGTGTCCATGCGGAAAAATAGATGGATTTCCCTGCAAATGGGGCATAGAACCAATTAAAACCAGTGGAACCCATCTATTCCTAACCAAACAAACCCAAGGACACCTTTGGCTGGAGGGTGATTTCAAACAGAACCCGAAGGGGATCAGAAATTTGGAACCCACATCGATGGGGCTCTTTGGAGCGGTTGCCAGGATTTGCTTGGAACCAATTTTGGGAAAATGGATCTTTGTGTTGGAGGTATCCTTTGGGGTTTGTTGAAAGCAAGGGTCGGGTTGCAACTTTGGCCCCTCGGAAAGCCCCTTAATTTGAAAGGAAACCAAATCAATTTTCCAAGCAGGCCTTGGTCATTTTGTTTCGGGCTCGGCATGTCTGCTTCAGGGTGCCTCAAAAAAAGAGCTCTCGCTCCGCAGATGAAACTGCAGCCTGCAAAACAGTTTGGGGGACGAAAACACATTGTGGGGGGAAAACACCAAAAAAACTGTGTGGGAATCTGCAGCCAGGAAAAAAAAAACATTGAACAGGCAGCCGGAAAAACGGGGCCAGTAGGTATGATGGTATCCAGGAGCTCGCACCCGGGATAAATCTCAAAATTTCGCCACTTCGCCGAACCCGGGACTTTCAGTTTCTGGGTGGAATTTCTACCGGGGTGGTAGGCCAAGAATCAAAGCGGGCAGGGGGCGGGGGCTCGTTGTGGTTTGAGATGAACACCGAAAGGAAACCACCATATTTGATGTTATGCATGTTTCTTTTGGGGGCCCCCTTAAAAAAGACAACAGTTTGTTCTCCTCTTGCAGGTCCAACTTGAACTGCCCAGATCCCCCAACACTAATCAACCAAGAGTGATTGATCCAGGGACAGCATGAAAGGCCGAACAAAGTTCGCATCAAGATTCACCCCGCCTGTCTCACAGCACCGCATCAACGCCCCTAGCAGCACTGGGTCCGGCTGGACAGCATTCTCCTGGCAAAAAAATGCTGGCAGTTGAGCAGGCCAGCGGACATCTGGCCATGGGTCAAAATCCCGGTTGCCCCCCAAGTGAACATCTCAATCCACTAAAACGAAGCCTAAAATGGGTGGTGAATTCACCTACCCCAAAATGGGATCCCAGTGGTTTTGACCAACAGCCATCTGACTTCTGGGCGCTTTGGAATGCAAGTGGGCGGTTTCCCATAGTATCCTCTACGAGGGGGTTCAAATTCCAACGGCACACTCGTTCATTAACGTGGATGTCCCCGTTTAGAAGGCATCCTTGACTTTTGTTGGGAAATACTCCCCCATGAATCCGCCAGGTTGAACAATCCGGGATCAACATTACCTTGCTGGTTCTCATCAGGGATGAGTTGGAATGATCCTAAAAAAAACATCCCCGATGTGGTTTCCTTTGTTTGGGCATCCCCAAAACCGCTTCGTTGCCAACACCTACCCCCCCCCCCATTCACCATCCCCTATGATTTTCTTTCAGGGAATCCATAGGTTCGTTCCCAACACCTAGACTCGGCAAGTCATTCCCTACCCATCGCACCGATCGCAAGTTACCTTCGCAACGAGGCGAATGTGAGCTGCCAACTCCTGCATGTCCTGCAGAACGGTCAGCGCAGCCTGCCACTGGCCATCCTTACGATCAAAAACCAACGAACACGAGCGCAGCTTTCGCCGGCCGCCCCGCCCCCACCTAACAGTCACAACAATACACAACAATACTTATATAAGGGGCATTAAAATATGGGCCAGACTCAAACGTATGATTGATGCTTGATTCTGGCCCATATCTTAGTGCCCCTTCTGCAAAAAGACGCAAGACGTGTGGACCGAAAAAAATCGCGAGGGTGACCTCTGGTCACTTCGCTTGCGAGCGTCTGACGCGCATGCCCCCACCAGGCCGCTGTAGAAGAACACGTCCTGAGGGGTCCCAAGATTTAAACATCCGAGCTCGAGGGCAGCCCTGGACAATGCAAACTACAAGAAACCCTTTGGCTAATGTCTACCCCAAAAAATGCCTAAGGGACTAACAAAAAACTAATAATAATAATAATAATAATAATAATAATAATAATAATACAGAACGTCCTGAACTCTGTCTATGATTCCTATCAGTAAATCTACCATGGGTGTGTCTTCTTTGAGGGTACCCCTTTTTGGTGGCTTTTAGAGGGAAGACAAAGGCAAACCCAAGGCAAACCACCCCTTTTGCGGGGTCCCCCAAAAAGAGACACCCAAATGAACTCAACCCAAGCTGCCAGTGGCCGCTAGTGGTTTTTTGGGTCATCTGAAGGCCGGGCTCGGAGCCGGAGCCCTTCCTTCGTCAAGTGCTTCGCGGATTTCGCGATGGCCATGGCAGCAGTCCAGGGCGCAGACTTGACTGCGGTGGTAAAGCTGATGATGTTCCTCAGGGGTTTCAACCCAATCCCCAAGCTGAAGTACACATGGGTTTTGTCTCACAACCCCAACATGGGGTTCCTGTGAAGTCCCTTTAAAACAACTGCAATAAGAAGCAAAGAGGAGAAACAGAGGAGATAGCGCAAAGGTTCCTTTGAAGTCCGAGAAGAGAGTACACAAGATGAGGCATCACCAAAACCCATCGATATTCACATGGTTTACCCGGAACCAAGGGACGAGTTCACAAGGCGGCGAAGGCACGCATTTGTGGTACCCTTCATCTAAAACTCTAAGGGTGCTGGGAACTGCCAAGCCAAGTACACAAAAAAACCAGTGCGAAACCGACCCGGAAAAGGGGGGGGTGTCTGGAAAATTGAACGCATCCACCCTTTGGTTCCGGAATGTTCAACCTGTGTTTCTGACGCTGATGATCAACCAGGTCCACCAGGCCCAACGATTGTCCACCAAAACAAGGCAAAACGACGATTCAAACAAACCTTCTCGAGCATCTGCTCTGGTTTTCCGGGGATGAAACGAACAGAAAGCTCATGCTAAGCCCTTACTTGATAGGGATCCAGGGACCTTGTGAGTCACGAGTCCCGGAGTTGCTGCCCGGGCCCACAACTCTAGGGGTTGATTCCTTGTCCATTCTGTTCAACCATCGTTCTTTCCAAAAACCGGATCCGTTTTCACTGGGTTTCCGGAGGTTTTTGAGAAAGAAGGATCCCTGGAAAGAATGCGGAAGCTACCCCTAGAACAATAACTGGGTCGCCAGCAGTGCAAAGTGTTTTATTCCAAGCCCTGCCTCTCAGCGCCTTGCTGCTCCATCGACTCGAAAATCCCCAGCACCGCCTTGAAAACGCGGGCCCCCGGCGGAACAAGCACGTCTGGAGGAGTACCCTCAAAAACCGCTTGAACATCTGGAGGAGTACCCTCAAAAGCCACTTAAACATGCTTCATCAGGTCGACTCGCCCAAACACTGCCCCCAACCTCCGGGGGAGAAAGTAAAAAACAAAACGGCGCGCCTGCCATTGCCTGCTCCGCTGGCACGCGGCCATGGCTGCGTTGCCCGCCGCACCGCTGTGCGGCGCCAGGGCCTGACAGCACCAAACCAAAACTACTTTGGGTCCTTCAAAGTGATACTTCCATTTGGTTAAGGCCCCAGGAACAAAATGAAACTATTTCCAGCAGTGATGAATTCCTTTTAAAGCCAACAAGGGAAAAAACCAAACAAATCTTAAGCACATGGAGGGATATGGGGGTTGATTAATATTCCATTTAGGGCCCCCAGTTTTGACCATGGCTAACTTTCCCATGTGGGGAAACATCATCATTTCATGTGATCAACCACCATATCCATCCATATCCCAACAGTTACTCTCTATTTGGTGGCGCGAAGGGAAATCACCCAACCCCAGCCTCCTTTGGTCACAGAAATTGAGCCTAAACTAAACTCCAGGCTTTCCACCGGGCGGAGTGCCAAGTTCTCGCGCCAAGTGTTTGCTGGAGGTAGCTTCCCCATTCTTTCTACTAGGTCTCCCAGTAGAGAGGTTAGAAGAAGGGTACCCCTTTTTCCCCTCCCCCTTTCTTCTGTAGTCTATTTTAGTAGGGGAACCCTCCCCCCCAAAAAGGGGAGAGAAAGGCCTTCTTGCTGGGGACCTAGTGATGTGCCCTTTCCGATTGGGAACCACCAGCTTTGCCCAAGGCCATCTTTGGAATTGACGACTCAGGTCCCCCCGCTCGGCTAACAGGAGATACGGGGACCCCCTGCCGGAGCCCCATCTGCCCTCCAAAACTATGTTCAGCCGAGCTGCTGTTTTTGTTTTTGTTTGTTCTCTGCCTGGGACACAGGTAAAGCCGTTCTTTTTAGGTCATACGCCTTGGACCTAACAAAATGGCCATACGGATTAGTTACAGTTTCTATTCAACAACATGTCGAAGAAATGTGGGTTTCATACGGGTGATTTACGCAAATGACCGGAAAAAAAAAGCATGGCCATACGGGCAAATACGGCCAAATACGGGAGTTTGACCGAACACAAAAACAAACAAAAAACAGCCCTACGGGGTGCCAGGTAGTCTACAACAAACTATCAACCTTGGGAGAAGAACTCAGGGTAGGCCAAAAGCCTGGCAACCCACTTACTATGCTAAGCCCGTTAGGCTTTAATTAGGGTTACTCCCCCACACCGTGGCCATGGGAAACCAAGAACCCACGGGTTGGGGCCCAAAAAACAAGCCAACATATACAAGGGCTCGCAACCCACCGAAGGGACTCCTACTAAATCGTTGAGGCAGGCACCTGAGCCAGTCTTTCCATTTGCTCAAGCCCCCGGAAAAAATATATATATATATATATCCAGTAGTGATAGATTCCCTTTAAAACCAACAAGGGGAAAACAAACACAAAAAACATCTTAAGCAAATGGAAGAGTCTGTTCCCAAAACCGACGCCTGCAGCGCCAGAGCTTTCTGCCAGCGGCTGGCTCTGGCGCAGGCTGTGATGGAGGCGCTCAGGAAGATCTCGTCCGGCAGGACGCCCTGGCGATTTGGCATTTGAGTCACAATCAAAACCCGGCGTTAAAATGGTCGAGCCAGAACCATGGCAAGAACTATTTCTGGCTGGGATTGTCCCTTACGAACCCTCACTTACCCAGGTTTTGAGTGTGGCTCATTTGGGAACCGCAGGAAGCCGCGCGGAGAAGGACCACCCTGCCCTGCTCGAAACACTTGGGCGCGAAATTCAATTGGGAACTAGTTCAGGCAAAACACGATCCCAAATAGGGGAACCATGATGATCTTGACTGCCCACCTTCCCCTGCTACTGTCGATCCCAGCCTGAAAGGATATTCCCTTCACAAGTGATGGACCCCCCCTAAATGATACATCTCTCAACATATACCAGGGGCCTTTTCATGCGGGGAACTTCCATTTGCTCAAGTCCACTGGAAAAATAAACATATGTCCAATAGTGAAGTCGAATCCCTTTAAAGCCAACAGTGGAAAATCGCAAATATTCATTTCAGCAAATGGAACCTCACCCCGATTTCCCCGACTGCAACTTCTTGGCGCCGACACTGCGCCGACTGCGAGGCCTGCGTCCGCAAGTCGCGGATCATCTCCAGCACCGCCTCCCAGCGCTTCTCGCGGCCCAGCTGCGCCGCTCGCATCGTGAGGCTCTTGAAGTCGACGGCCATGGCCACTCCAAAAGCGACGTCTGCCAAGGGAAACCGGCCATTTTGCGGTGCCACCGGTGGCAAAACAAAGAGACAAATTTGAGCATGCTGTGGTTTGGCGGTTGATATTGAAGAAAGGAAACAGTGTGTTTTTGTTTTGCTTTTTGGGGCTTCTTGAAATAGCTTCCTAAGGCTCAAGACATGCTCAAAACAAGTTTTGCGGATTTCCTGGCTTCTGGTGGCCGGGTGTACGAACTTAGTTAGCGGTTCGATGATACCTTGCAAGCGGATGTGAAAAAAAAAAAAAAAACGCCAAGAAAAAAGGAAGCCTGGTGCAATAAAACGGTGTTGGCTTCCTTTCGGCTTCCCCTTTCGGCGTGCACCCAGAAGACGCGGAGTCACCATTTTTGCGAAGCTGTCATTGGCTCATCTTGAGCTTCTGGCTGTATCCCTGCTCAGCTCGCCCCTCGGAGCCTCACGGCCAGGCGGCTGACCGAGACCCTGGCTCAGAACCACGGATAAGAAGCCTTGTGCATTCACATTGCTTCGGTTCGCGGCAGAGCTGTCCTCAGATGCCCCGCTAAAAGTGAATAAACTTTTTAGTGGGCTAAATGGAACACCAACCACTAAACACTAAAACGCTAAAAAGCTAAGGAACCGGATGGCTGGGAGTCACCAAGGGCAGAAGAGCGCGTGACACAAAGACCAAACGGTTGATGTGGACCTAGACCATTGGGCGCAGTTGCACAAAGGACCTGGACAGAAAAGGTAATCCATTGGGTGTGCCTTTTGAGGGTACCTTGTCAGGCTCTGGAAAGGGAAGCGAGAAAGAAACTTTACAACCCTTGGGTGCAACAACTCTGGTTTTTGCAGTCCTGTTTGGTAGGGAACAAGTTGAAGGCTTGCCAACGACAGTGAAGGAAAGCTACTAAAGCAAGGGTTTTGGTGATCAACCCAGTTTGACACATCCCTGTGGCAAAACGCGGTCTTGCTTTAAGCAAGTTTGGCAAAGTGGCTTTGAGATCCCAAGCACAAGCCAATAAATAAGACAGTTTCTGGAAAGTGGCCGATGGCACACGAAACGGTGCGAGTTGATGCGAGCAACGGTCAGTTGTCGGATTATGTTTTTCGGTGGAAAACGAGATGACAAATGGATCAATTGACGTGGGCGCGCTCATTCTGACCACATTTTACGAATGGTCAAAATATAATCCAACCTCTCACATTTTCTAGTACAGGGTACAGTCATCAGATTACAATCGACAAAGCAAGGGGAAGGTAATCACCTGAAGCTTGCATGTGGGGCCGGCTGAATTTGGATCACTTCAATGACCTATAGCAATTCATCAACCTGAACTAAGAAAAGGGCCCCAGAAACCAAAGAAACCAAGAAAGGAGCCGTGGATAAAATCCGCGAGGGCATACTTGCAGGAGCCGTTGGGAAAACTCTGATCCAGCAGGCACCTTTCCCACCCAAAGGTGCCTTGGCACACAGTGTCCCCAGTTGCAAGCAGCGACCGGGGCACAAAACATGATAGAATTGAGACCTCAGATGCCCAGTGGCCATGGGAAGAAAAGGGCATCCTTCTTTGGTTGGTTGAGTTTGAAGGGGAACCCTTCCCCCAAAAAAAGGGGAAAAAGGGCGCCACTGGGGAACTGGGGGACTGACCATGTTTAGCTCAAAATCCGTCAAGTCAACGCATAAAAAAGAAGGGTGAAAGCCTACCGGTTTTCCCGAACCACCGCTCACACAAGAAGCCGGACCGAATACAACAAATGGACGTGCCCCTGTTCCTACCATATAGGACACAAATATGGACCAGCATGACATCAGGCAGTGAAGAGGCTCCCTTCCTTTTGCATACCAGAAGATTGCAATGGCTCCAAGGGGACAAAGGCGCTCTCTCGACCTGTTGATCAGATCCACCATGTCACTTGTACAGCAATGTTGTCCATGAGTTCATTGCCCCGGGTACTAGGCATCCTTCATCCTGCGCTCGTCTTAAGGTAAGATCGCCATTCCCAGTGCAGATTGATAGGTGTATGGTTGACCTGGTTGTGGAATGTCACCCTTGTGACACAGGGCTCCCTGTATTTCCCCTTAAAACATCACCCCACCAAGGGACACTCACCTTTCATGGGTTTAAAACCGCAAAAAAAAAGAAATATAGGGACCCCTGTGACACCAAAGAAAGTGGTCGATTCCCATCCCAGGTGCTTTCAAGGAAAACTCCCGGCCCACAGGCGTAAGGTTCCAAGGGCCTTTGTCCAGCCATCCAGCCAAGGAACCTCACTTCCGATGGATGGGACAGAAAAGGTAACCAACACTTCTTGTTTACCACTAGATCGCTCCCTATATTTCTCCTTAAAACATCACCCCCAGAAAGGGACACTCACCTTTCATGGGCCAAAAAGGTGAAGTTTGAAAACCCTAAAAAGCGGACATATAGGGACCCCTGTAGAATGGTCATTCCAAAAAGGAGAAAGTCCAGGAACTCAGGTCGTGAGGAAACCTCAACAACCCCGGGGCTTCACCTGTTTCTTGTCCACCAACTTTTCGGGTAGCAGGTTGCTTGGCTTCCCGGTTGAGCATTTTATCCGCCGAGCTGCCGACTGCTTGCGGGGTAAGACGATGTTTTGTCTTACACCGCCTATGATGCAGTGAGGTCCCGATTTTTTCGGTGGCAGCTCGTTCAAGCGCCCTAGATACAGGCTGGAGCCAACAAAGTTACCTCAACACTGTGACTCAATACTTGAGCTATGCTCACGATTCTCATTAAGCTCACTTCGCATCTGGGTGTGTCTTTTTGAAGCTACCCATGGTGGGATTGCTGGCAATGAAAAGCCAACACGGCGAAATTTATGTGTAAGTAGTGGGTCTGCCCTTTCAGCTTCCTTTCCTAAACGAAGACACAGCTTAAGACACACCCATTCAGCATTCAGAGACATTGACTGGGCTTGGGACGCCGAACTCATTCCTGACGCCATCATCCTCGGACTCCTGAGTTGCTTTTCTTTTTCCCAGGCGCCTTCGCCTGGGAAAGGGAGGCCAAACGGGAGGTCTAAGCAATCGCGGTTTAAACGCGAAATTCTCATTGGCCCGACTAAAGGGAGCCCTCCTTTCAATGGGTTGCTGAAACAGTGACTTCGAGTCTACAGCGTACCATGTTGTTTTTTTTTGTCAAGCTGGTTGCTTCTGATGTTCTGCCAAAAAGTGAGATTCACACATGCTAAAGTAGAAGGTTTGGCCAATTTTGCGGGTTCAGGTTGGTGGTTTGATGTTAAAGGGCTAGGCTCTCTTCAGAGAAAACACCATTAGCTTTGCACGTCTACGAAACGAAGGCTGGGAGTTGGTTCGGCCAAGCGCGCACTCCGCCAGCTCCTGGCGGCAGAGCGCGCTGGGCAGATTGTACGGAGACCTGGCCACCGCGTGGATGAAGTCCATGAACTCCGGCTCCTCCTCGTTTTGGTCGTCGACTTAAGCAAATGGAGGCTTATCTAGGTCCCCCAGTAGTGCCCTTTTACCCTTTTTTGGGGAGGCTTCCCTTACTAAAATAGACTACACAAAAAAGTTGGCACCCTTATTCTCATCTCTCTACTGGAGGACCTGATTTTGACCACTATCTTTCTTGGCCAGCTTTCGGTAAACCAAATTGGATAAAGAGACCAAGCAAAAACCAAAAGGTTCAACACCAGATGGAGGCCCCCCTTAAGGGTTTTGCCTTGCCCCCCAAAAACCGCCACAGCAAAAAACAAAAATAGCCGTCAGAGGGCGTATTGGAGGGCTTCAGCCGGACGGCAAAAGGCGCCTTTACCCGTCTCCGGCTATGATTTTAGCTGGAAGGTTGCAGATAAGACCCAATAGCTTTCAGCTGTCGGGGAAAAACAAGGGCGAACGGCTTCCATGGCTCACATGGGGGAGAGCAAAACTCCGAACTGGGACAAGACTAAGCAGGCATAACCCCATTTATATGGTAACTGGTGCTTAACCCCAGACGAAGCATGTTTAACCCCCAGATTTCTGGTCTCTTTATCCAATTGTCTTTACCAATAAACGGTGGCCAAGAACAGAAAACATGGGGAAGTGGTCACAATCAGGATCACCTTGCCATATGTTTCACACCCACAATGGTGTTCAAGGCCGGGCTTTCCCAGGCGCGAAGTGTGTCTTTCTTGGTTCATAAGTGTCACCTGCCCAAAGGACTTGGACCTGAAAAGGTAACTTTGGCACCAGTTTGAAAATAAGCCTCCATTTGCTCAAGTCCCGTGCAAGATTTCTGTTGAACCCCCTTTTCATTTCAAGGGTTCCAGTTTTGGGCGCAAGCCCTTTCACAGGCCAGTGCAAGAGATGACTGCCACAAACTGCTTCCTTGAGTTTCGCGAGGCTCAGCGTTCCTTTTTCGAGGCTTTGGTCCCCTCAGATCTCGAGCCTCTTCAATGGGTCCAGTCATCTTCGCAGTGATCAAAGGACAAGCCGGGCTCCAATGACACCAGGAGTCAATTGATGACTCAAAGGGCGTGAGCTATGTTGAAAACGCCTTGTGCACGCCTTTTTTGGTTTCCTTAAAAGGAACCCAATCTGAATGCACCACTCGGGCAAATGCTAGAAATTTAGGACCCAGCCAGCATGGTTGTCTCGATTCCTTATTCTTGAAGGCTCTATCACCATCCCTGCAAACCCAGCAGAAGGGAGTGTTGACCGGCACGTGTGTAGCCAGCCAACCAACAAGCAAGCAACCAACCGCTTCAAACCAAGCAACCAACCGAAATCAACCAAGCAACCAACCGACCCGCCCAATGGCAGCCCCGCCCAAAAAATGCCAGACCAGGGAGACTACAAAAGAAACGCCGCCCCCGCCACCCACCAGCCACCAACAGAAGCTTCCTCGGAGCTGGACAGCACCGTGCTCTCGTCATCCAAGGGCACAGCTTTCAGATCCATGCTGGAGGTCACGCGCTGATTCTGCTCCCCCCGAACCAAGAGAATCAGGCCCGACATCATACCGAAGATGCAGCCGAGGTAGCCGCAATACTGCCACCAGGGCTCACCATCCATCTCCCCCAGCACTACCAGTGCACTGAGGCTGTTGGACAAAATGTTGGAGCCCTGGAAGACGGTCACCATGAACCTGGGACCCGAGCAAACCTGCAAACAAGTGGTCCACGTGCTGCAACCCGTGGGAAAATGTAGGAACTCCAACCTGCAATAGGAGAAATGGACCCCAAACAGGAACCACAATCGTCATCTCGGGGCCCGTGCCCGGTGGCAAACGGAGACACTGACCAATTCCTCAAGGGCCAATATGTGTTTTTGAGGCCCCGAAGTTCTCGAACTTCGACTCGGACCCTCAGGCAAATCATTTCTAAGGAAGAGTTGAATCCCGTGCAAATCAGTCATTTTAGTTTGCAGAGTCACAAAAGGCACAACCCCCCCCCCGGTTTGGTTTACAAATTTTCTTTTCCCAAAGGAACTTGTGCCATTCACCCAACTCATCGGTGGGGCTAGTACGAAACTAACTAACGCTTCCCTAAATCCCCCCGTAATGGATCCCCGAGCGCAGAGGAAAAAAAAAACGACCGCGCCAAGGAGCAAGGCTTCGTACTTCTGCATGCCCTTGGCCATGTATGGCACGTTGGCCACTGCGAAGAAAATCGCGCCACCCAGGATCGCCCATGTGCTCCAATGCGACCACGCCTCACAGGGCAGTGCTGATATTTACTGCCTTCAAATGCCGTTTGCGTGTGTCTTATTGGACTTTGTGTTCGCACGTGATGATACCATGTTATCTAGGATTCATGTTTTGTTCGTTCTGCTATATGATGCCAGTGTTTGGACCCAACGTCGCCACGTTTGGCAGGATGGATGCTTTGCCTGCTGCTGGTGTGCTGTTTAGGTTCCCCTCCGATAATGTATAACACAGTATGATATGTGACGTATAATGTTGACGTTCCGGAGTCTGTATGACATAATGTGACACAGGATGACTTCGTCTCATTTCTTAAAGTCAATTAAGCGAATACTGATTAAGATGCTCGCAATCATGACGACAAGCAGAATACGAAGCGGTACAATGCGTACACTTACCATAGTGCGCAAGTTGATCAAAAGAAAGGGCGTCTGGGTATGTCTGAAAGGCTTCCGTAGGATCAATGAGGTTAGGGGATGTCCCCGTCTCTCCTGTTTTGAAAGGGTTCGGGACCTTCATACCTGAAAAAGACATCTACTCATTGGGTGAGAACTTTCATACAATTTCCAAGTTGTCTCCAAAGCGTACAAATTTGGGTACAGTTCCACACAAGCCCCTCTCGGACTGTTTGAGGTAGGCATCCAAAGATCACCACCAAGCCATGCTCACACCCTTCCTTGGCCCACATCTGGGGCACTCCAATAACAATGTGTCCTGATGTTGCTTCACATTTAGCCACCTCAAACTATAAAAGCGTCATATTGAGCCTAGCTCACAATACCAGTATAGCCGGCGAAGCCGGTGGGCAGAAGTTTCAAAAATATAAACACTATAGTTCTCTTTCCCTGTCTTTTTTTTGATTCTGTTTTCTCTGCTTCTTCCTTTTCACGGTTTCTCTTTGTTCCGCAATTCTGTCTGTCTTCTTTTGTTTCTCTCTTTCTGTCCTTCCTTCCTCCCTTCTTTCCTTCCTTCTGTCCTTTCTTTCTTTCTTTCTGTCGTTTTGCTTGTTTTCGCGCTCATTCTCTATCTACCTGTCTCTCTATCAACCTATCTATCTATCTATCTATCTATCCATCTATCTATCTATGTGTCTATCTATCTCTCTTTGTAACTACCTCTCTCTCTCTTTGTCTCTATCTTACTGTTTGTCTATATCTACCTCTCTATCTATCTATCCATCTATACAATCTATCTATCTCTCTCTCTATCCCTATCTATCTATCTATCTACATTTCTATCCATCTCTCTACGTGTCTTTTCTATGTCTCTATCTCTCTTTCTACCTATCTATCTATCCATCTCTCTCTCTCTCTCCATCTATCTCTCTATCTGTCCATCCATCCATCCATCTATGTACCTGTCTATCTATCTCTCTCTCTCTCTCTATCTATCTATCTATCTATCTCTCTATCTATCTATCTACCTATCTATCTTTCTATCTATCGATCTATCCAGGGTTGTGGGCGCGGCCCGGTTCTGTGATTCAAAACTACTTCCCTCAAATAAGCCCCGTCAAACAACCCACCATTCAGCAGCTGGCTCAAGATATCGCCACGATCCGCACATTCACCGATCTTGGCAAATCCCAGCCATACCCGCTGCCTTGCTGATGCGCCCGCGCAATGCCTTAATCTCTCACGTTGGCGAAGCCCTTGAAAGGGGCCGCAATACCACACGGGGCGAATCGCTTAAAGGGGCAATAACTTCCCTTCCGCCATGCCAAAATGCACTTTGTGTACTACAGTTGTACTGAAAAGTTGCAACTGCCGAGTGTGCTTACACTACACTTGTACGGAAATGTTTTGATTTTCGAGTTAGAGCAATGCAAAGCGATGCTGAGCAAAATAACGATACTGAACTTGTTTGACATAAGGTAAAGGCAGGGGGGCTCGTAAGACGTCTCACAAGCACTTTCCTGCCCCAGGGTGGCAGCAAGCGCGCCCTGCCTTGCCTGCATCATGGACTGTGTTGTGGCAGTTGAGGAGATCCCGCGAGGTCCGAATGGCCACGAGCTTTGGAAGGAGGGACGCAAGACAAATAGTTAGGTTCAAGTGGGCCCGGAGCCTTGATTCCCAGCTTGTACGGATTTGTGTTGCGCCCAAGGCTATTTTTTGAGGTCTTGGAAGTGATACCCAAAGTGACGGCCAAAACGATGCATGTGGTCCTCTTGCTCTTGTGTAATGCCGAAATATTGTTGAGTTGATTTGCCCCCTGAACAATAACATTGGGTGAAGGCATGATAGGCAGAGGCTTGGCTTGCTGAACGCTGAGAAGTGTACCTGGGCGCTGCGTGGGCCAAGTCTTTTTCTGATGTGTCGGTTCGTTTGACGCAGCTGCACAGCCCGATGAAAGCAACAGGCAAGCGCGATGAAGAGCCCGCGCCTGACTACTCCGATGCGAGGTTGCCGCGTTCGCTGCGGTCAGCAAAGCTTAGTCTAGCAGGTGCCCGTTGCGCGCATGCTAGAACTTGTTTCTTCCTTGACACTGACTAGCCAACTCCTGCGCACGTGCGGTTGCCCTGAGGTTGCCCTTGTCCCCAGCGTGCTTGTCCACAAGAAGATTCTCTCATGCCCGCTCGCAATTTCAGCGCGGGCGAGAAGGTTTTGCAGGCGGACATTCCAGTGGAGACGGGACAAGGGTGCTCTCAAACAAGCTCCTACTTGCCCTATACCTTCCAGTGCAACCTGATGAGGGAGGGCAGCAGTCGTGTGACAACGAAGCTCTCAGCGGTGCTTGAAGGGCTCTTTGCCCATGTGCAGTTCGTCAAGGCCAGCAATCCCGCATCTTTTGGATGCGGCATTGGGAGTGCAGCTTTGGAAGAGCCTGGAAAAGGCCCTCAAATTGCGCATAGGGGAGCTTTCCATTTAAGACTCTATTTCGACAAGCTGTTGTGCTGCCAGATGTGTTGGAGATGAAGGGCGCAGCTGGCCTATTTGCTGCGGTCCCACAGCTTTCCAAAGTGTTCATTACAGAATGCGCAGATTGCAGGCGATTTGAATCCACTTTTGAACCCTCATCTTTTTCACCTTCTTCGCAAAAGGAGGAAAGGGGTCAGGATCCTGTGTCTTGATGTTGCAGTCAGGCCGACATCGACCCCGCAAAGCTTGCCAAGCTTGGCCGCCTTACAGTTCTCCAGTTGTCTTGGAACTTCAGTCCGTACAGGCCGCCGAGCCTTTCTCGCGAAGCACACACGTGGTGGTGGCGTGCAGCGAGGATGGCGTACGCTTACGCAGGAGGCTGTGGCTGGCAGCCTACAGGCTGAGGCTCAGGCTCCGGCGGCCTCAAGCCATACATTGTGGTCTTGTGTGAGGAGTTTGAGATAGATGGCCCCCTGGAAGATGAACAGCCCCTCGCACAACTTGCCCCAGCGGTGAAGAAATAATTGGCGGAGGTGTCGCACGGAGTTCCGGGATATGCCGCTGAAGTGGTGCGGGATGGTGGCGCGCTATGCCTGCGAGCCACCGTTGATGGTGAGGCCTTGCCACCAGGGACGGTCATCCAGACGCTTTGTGCGTTCAAGGGTGACAGCGCATGCTTGGTTCCAAGGATGATCCCTTTTCCAGCCGAGTCTTGCCAGCATGTGGCTGAATAGATGCAGCATTCAAGCTAGCTGACATGGTCAGCACATGTGGCTAAATAATAGACATGCTCAAGGACATCTGTGTAGCGACGCGGCACACCCTGTGTCTAGCCGGAGTTGCATGTAAGGGCAGCCCCTGAGTTCGGGAAAAATTCGGCTGCCGGAGCAAACCCTGGAGCGATGCCTTTCAAACAATGCGGTTGCCCCTTCGCGCGCTACACTTGTACTACGTACAAGGTTGCGATTTTCGAGCGGAAGCTGCGGAAGTGTACTTCGCAGGCTGCGCTTGCGCCACGGACTCTACATGGTTGCAGTTTTCGACCTGGAGCTGCGGAAGTGCGCCTCGCGTACTAGACTTGTTTTAGAAAGTTGCGATTTTCGATGCAGAGCTGGAAGCGAGCTGGAGCTGTGGAAGTGTACGTTGCGCATGTGCATTGGTAAGTTGGGCTCAGTTGGCACTTGCTAGCCAGGCAAGCCAGCGACTATGTTGTCAAGAACTCTTGTGAGAGCGTGGTGAAGCTTTCGAAGTTCTTGGCAGAGGCCGATGACACCGCCATCGACAAGGGCGGGTGGAAGGCCAGCGCCCGAAGTGGGCAAATGTCACTTTGCAGAAATCAAAAAAAGTCGCCCTACTTGACGGCGCCGGCTTGGGCGGGAACAAAAGGCCTCTTCATGAAAAGGACCTGCACCGTCTCCGTTACTCCAGAGTCTGGGTCGCTCACCCGTTATGTCGGATGCAACAGCAACTGGTTCTGCTTCCAGTGCGCATGAGCGAATGCCTCGCCTCCCTGCAGGAATCGCTCCTGCAAGAGAAGGTGTTGTTTTTCACAACCAGGTCTAATCCAAAATAAACCCCAAACCTAATATGTTTTTGCAGCCCACCGCAATCAAAACCAACGCGCACCTACCTATATTTATGATTCCGGCTATCCGGGGTTTTGCTTTGCATCTAGGGTTTTGCTTTGTTAACAGAAATGTCGTCACAGCGATGCTGCTATGGCCACACAAATGAGTGGCGTTTGGGCGCAGCGCTGGTGCCAAGGCATTGCGCAGTTGCGAGTTCCACGGCGCGCAAGGTGCGGAATGGCGCAACTGATTTACTATATCGCGCCGGAGATGACGAACATGTTTTGACCAGGCATCCTTCTGGGCTGCTCTGTTCAAGTCAAGTGGTTTTTCTCTCGCTGCGTTTTTCGGTGTGCCTAGGCCCCGTTTACCTGCGCAATGCGGCTGTGCGACCCACCAATGCGTTGCAGGATGATGTTTAGGCTTACGATTGCCGCTGTGCTACTCGAAGGGTTGCTGGATCCTTTGCGGCGCGTGTGTGTGTGTGTGTGTGTGTGTGTGTGTGTGTGTGTGTGTGTGTGTGTGTGTGTGTGTGTGTGTGTGTGTGTGTGTGTGTGTGTGTGTGTGTGTGTGTGTGTGTGT